GATCACAAGAAATCAAGAGGTGTGAAGTCCACACTATAGTGCTGCAAATTCTTGTGTTTTTCTTAAACCTCCGGCTCCTGGAATCATGTGAGAATCTCAACAATATTTTAAAGGGAGTTTCTAGCCCTCATGAAGGCAGAGAAAAAGCTTGAAAACATGAACTCTGGAAGTCTCAAAAAAACAGAAAAAGTCAGAGTTGAAGGCCAAAAGGGACCATCAGATCATGTAGTCTGACCTCCTGTACATCACAGGCCACCACCATCACTCAGCACCCACACACCAAACCCAACTGAAATGAGACCAAAAGTATTACAGCCCACAAGAGACCTGAATATTATGTGCGATAGGCGGAGAACAGGAGGGACCCAGATGCACCAGTGCCCAAGGCCCTGGCAATGGCAGAGAAATGATTAAGTGAGCTACACCCAGATAATCCTGGCAAGTGACCCACACCCACACACTGTAGTGTACGACAAAACTCTCCACCCTCCCTGCATGGATCACTGCCAATCTAACCGGAGGGAAATTTTTTTTCCCCACCCCACATATGCCTAGACCCTGAGCATGTGAGCAAGAACTAGCCAGCCAAGCACCAGAGAGAGAATTTTCAGTGCTACCTCAGAGCCCTGGCCTCCCCATCCAGTGTCCCATCTACAGCCAGGGCAATCTCTGATGCTTCAGAGGAAGGAGACCAAAACAAAAACCCAGAATACTTTGGGGTGGAGGTAGTGGAACCCCATCCTGACCCCTGCTCGTGGCCATCTGAAGCCCTGAAACATGAGCTTTTGGGAACAAAGAAAAACAACTCTTTTTAAAAAAAGATCTCATGATTTTTAAGGGGCTTGCTCATAATTTGAATGCTTTGCATTGGCAATACCACACTACACCATATTCTACAGAGCTCTGCCCTCTGATAGAGTAAATTCCCCCAAAAAGGAACACATTGGTGGAAACTAAGACAAATAACGTGCCAATTAGGCAATCAGCTTGATTCTCAGAGGCTCAAACCAATACAGTAGAACCTCAGAGTCACGAACATCAGAGTTACAAACTGACTGGTCAACCACACAACTCATTTGGAACCAGAAGTGTATTCAATCAGGCAGCAGCACAGATCAAAATAAAAAAATAAATAAAAATAAAATAAAAAAAGCAAAATATGGTACATTACTGTGTTAAACATAAGCTATTAAACAAACTAAAGGGAAAATTAAAAAAAGAAGATTTTACAAGGTAAGGAAACTTTCTGTGCTTGTTTCATTTAAATTAAGAAGGTTAAAGCTTTGTTCAGAGTTACAAACAACCTCAATTCCTGAGGTGTTCGTAACTCTGAGGCAGGGCCGGATCTAGGTTTTTTGCCGCCCCAAGCAAAAAAAATGTTGGCTGCCCCCCGTCCCAGCCCTGGGCTCCTCGCCTGACCCCCCTGCTCCCCCAGCCCTGGGCTCTTCCCGCCCACCCACACCCTCTGCCACCCCAGCGTTGGGCTCCCTCATTCCCCCCCACCCATTGCTCCACACACACACC